CTCTATTATCTTTTGCTTGAATTTAATCACTCATCACAATAGTGCAACGTTTCCATGAAAACATTGCACTAAAAAGGGGTTGTTATTATTCTATTTCAGATTATACAAGACTAATAATATCAAGGCACTAATTTAAAAGAAATTAACACGGCTGTTTTCTAAACGAATTTTTTTTTACAATATGCTTATAATTCAGTGGTCGAAAGTAGTGTTTACACCATTTCCATGTGAATGGAACTAGGGGGTAGGAAATACGCTAAATTTTCAAGTTTATGGCCGTACTTTAGTCAAGAATTAGACTTTTATTTTCATAAATGAAAATATATAAGTCGAAACAATGTGCGACTATGAAATATCTGATGCAGAATAGTTAAGTTGGGTTTCTAAAACAATGAAATGTTAATGAACATTCGATCACTGATTCGTGACTGATAGTTGCACAATTATTATTCTAAGTGGAGGGATAATCCTAAGGCCTCCTATTTTCCAAAATGGGCAGTTTTAAATGTAAAATGGGTTGTTGTAAAACTTAGAATGGCAATCCTAAAAATGACTTTTGGAGTTTCATATGAGAATAATATTGATATAAATTAATAAAGAAATTATTCATACAGAAATTTGAGGTGAAAACAAAAACCAAATTTGATTGTGAAAATGGACGAAATGATCATTCTGGACTTGTGCAATTCATCATTTTCCGGGCGACTATGCTTCTGCCTCACGATATATATGCTTTTCTTGTTGAAATGGGCTGTTTTAATTTTTTTCTTAGGGTTATCTAAAAGTGAAGTTATCTAAAAGCTGCAGGCTAAATTGAACCGACTGATTTGAAAATAAATTAATTAGGAAATTTTTGAACCTTACCTGAGCAGATTGATTCAGTCTTTGCATGTTATTAACGACTTCTTTTGCCACGGTCATTTTTATTATCGACTCTCCGTGCCCACTTGCAGCTGCTGCTCCGTATTCATTTGCGTAACCGCCGCAGCCTACCAGCGGTACATCACCGACACGACCTTTAGATTTACGTGGTATACCACCTTTAAAAATTCAAATATAGCATTAAAATTGTCGTAATTCATTCACTTTTAGTGTTTTTAGTCATATGTTTTCTCTACGAGGCGTTTTTCTACTATAGACATGGCAGGAACCAGCATAATGAGATAATTATATAGTAAGCCCCGATTAAGCGAACATGTGGGTGCACGAGAGTTGACAGACAATCTTGGTTAGCTTGGTTAACTTGGTTAGCTACCTAATGCTTTCAAGTTAAAACAGTGTTGGAATACACGCCTAATCTTGATTTTATTAATTTAAAGCTTTAGCTTGAAATGTTCTTTCAAAAACTTGTGACTGCCAACTCACGTCAACTCTTATTCGCGTTTTCTGGGCTTTATTAGAGACCTTACGATTTTAGGACGGCAACGCTTCGGCAACGGCTACCAATACAATAGATCATTGAAAAGAATTGGGTAATTACAATATATGAATAAATTAAACATTGTCCTCGCTCTGTTTACAACGCTAAATCACATATTTTAACGTGTTGATACAACCACTGCATTCCAAGCCACAACAAGTGCAACTTCAAACTGGGTTTACCAGAACTCTTCCCAACCGTAAAACCCATGTCTTCAACTTCTAAAACTGTATTAAATTCATACGATTGATAATATACAACAAACTATCTTTATTACCATTTATTTGAAGGAATTTGTTTTGCCGTCGCCGTCGCGTTGCCGTCCTAAAATCGTAAGGTCTCTATTGTTACCTGACGATGCCGCGCACGCCAAATTGCCCTTGCAATCTATGGCAATAGCAGTTACTGTGTCGCCTGGGCTATCATTTAAAGGATTGGGACCTTCTCGGGGATTGTCTCTGCCTTCCACAAATTCAACGGGAAAATTGTATTTCACTGCAAATTCCAATGCTCCATCTGCACACAAAATACAATGATCTGATTCTTCCATAACTTTTCTGGCGAGTGAAACTGGATGAAGAATACCACGTGCTGCTGTTACGGCACCTACAAATTTAGTTGAGAGATACTGACGTAAGAATCATTTGTAAATATGTAGTAGAACAAGCCTGGTTGCGTTTTTAAAACGTTTAGTAATTCGTTTTACACCCATCAGTGGAGATTAGGAGAATCTGATGTATTGCTAAAGCAAGCATATACAAGCCAAGTTCTACCATCAACCACCTGTTGTAAATATAATGTATGATGCCAAACAGCGAATAAAAGACATAATGGAAGCACCACAACTTTCTGCAAGCTTTATTCTGATCAGCTAAATCTGTTTCTGGCTTTCAAAAATAAGACGGGATTGGGGCCGTCCCATGGGGGATAGTCTCTGCCCTCCACAAACTCAATGGGAAAGTTTTTTTTCACTGCAAATTCCAATGCTCCATCTGCACACAAAGTGCAATGGTCCGATTCATCCATATCCATGACTTGTCTGGCGAATGAAACTGGATGAAGAATATAACGTGCTGCTGTTACTGCACCTACAAATTTAATTGGGAGATACTGACGTAAGAAATCTCTGTAAATATGTAGCAGAACAAATCTGGTTTCGTTTTGAAACGTGTAGAGTAATACGTTTTAAACCTATGCAGAGAATCTGATGAATCATGTATTATGCTAAAGTACCTACACGTATATACAAGCCAAATCCTACCATCAACCACCTGTTGTAAATACAATGTATGATGCCGAACAGAAAGAGATCATGGAATCACCACAACTTTCTGCAATGGAAACGGGCAAGCTTTATTCTGATCAGCTAAATCGGTTTCTGAATTTCAAAAATAAGATGGATTTTCCAACTCATCATTCCACTCACGAAAAGGTTGAAGTCCCCGGTCAAACTACGCCATCATCATCAGAGTATGCAGTACCCAATGAACCTGTTGAGACACCACTACCAGTGTCTACTACTTCTAAACCTAATTTCCTTACACCACCACCTACAGAAGGAGAAACACCAAAGCTCAAGCGCAACTGTTTTCACAATTAGACGAAACGTGACCTAGCACGAGTGATTCCCGAAGCAAGAAAGGATTATACACGTTTTATACTGAGAAATATATTTCAATGAAGCTGTAGAAAATGGCAACGTTATCGCCAAATTGATATTGGTTGATCAGCATCATGAAAGATTTTGATTGGTTGCAACTTCACATAAACAATAGTTTTAAAAATAGCTCGGTCAAGGGCTCAAGGCAACAATTAATACAAAGGTCAAACGCACGTAATTTAACAAATTCCATTATCGATTTCTTCGATTTTTTTTCTTTTATGCTTTATGGCAGAAAATAAATCAAACAAACATTAGTTTGAAAGGGCTTTATCAAAATCTTTGACGAATTTTGGACACACTACACGACGCTGAAAGAACAGCCAAACTATTCATGTATTCGAAAGGAGTTGTTGTTTTTATTTTTAATATCAGACCCTACCGGCGTTGTTTTCTGAGTTACATCGCCTTCTTCGTGGTACGATTGAGAATTTCATTGTTGCTGTTGTTAGCCCGTTAGGGTGTATCTGCATGCAGATAGTTGAGAACTCATAAAAGCTTGGCAGTCAAGCCGTGCACAAAACTGACTAATTAAATCTTTGTTTGCTGTTCGGTTACATAGAGAAACCGACACTTAATTATATAAAAGTACCTTGAATTTTTAAATTTAAATAAATTTAAAATGGGTAAAAAGCGGACGGATAAAAGGCGGACGGCGGACTGCTGACGGCGGATGGCGGAGCAATTTATAAACACATGATTACTACCGCAACTAATTATAAGACCCTAAATTAAAGTATACCCGCCTTAGATTTGTGAAGTAAATATGTTTTCATCTGTACGTTTGAATTTTTAGCAATGGAATTTAATTTAATCAGCATTCAATACATATGTATGATAGGAGGTTACCCGCCATGCCGCGAAACGTTTCGGGTATTTCAAAGCGCCCAGTTTCGCGCTTCCGCAACCGCCTGCTACCAGTCAGTGCCGACATGGGGCTGGCCAAGCGACATTCACTTGCTGTCCTTTTCATACTTTAAATTGTGCTGACTTGTTTTTTTATAATGAAATTAATCCCCGTTTTACTTACTAAAAGGCTAACACGCAGCAAAGGTCCATTCATGTGAGTGCTTACACATTACTATTCCACTGTATATAAATGTAAAACGAAATTATAAGCTTCCTTAAGCCTTCAAATACATATGATATAATACCCAATATTTACGCTGCATACATATATACATTTTTCAAACAGCTTGTTACACTGACTACTGTGTGACATTTACATAGTAGATATTATAAATAATATGTTATATTTACATAAATATGTCAGGAAAATATCAATAACTCAATACAGTTATAGGAATGACAAATATAAAATTGTAAATATATACAATTGTGAAAGTTTGCATGTCCAAACCAGTTTATAAAAATTCTCTTAAATCACGATCCATAGCCTATACTCAATACCTACTACCTATATGTGCCTACGAAATAAAACAATCGTTCAAGAGCCTTGAATGAAAGAAAAATATCGAGCAGCATTAGTTTAAAAAATTATTGGGCTCAATGAAAATCCACCCCATCAAATGATCCGCCCTAATACATAGTATTTCTAAAATCCATATATAGAATAGTTGTCGCATGCAAATCGGCCATTTCTACATGTGAACCTCTTAGGTTTATAATTCAAACGAGGATTATTTTCATTATAAAACAACAAGTCAGCACTATTTAAAGTACGAAAATGTCAACAAGTGAATGTCATTTAATTCTGCCTAAGGGAGCGGTCATAAAGTAAGTGCTACCCCGGGACGGAGGATATTTTTAATTTTGTGAAAAACATTTCATACCCCCACAAACTTGTCGGATAATATTTGATACCCCATCAAGATAACGGTAATCATAAAACGATAAGCTTACCAGGGTTTATTCATGTTGATATAACCTGGGGTGTGCTGATTGGGCTAAAAATTTCTGTTGAGTAATTGCCATTACCCTATAAGTTATATTTTTAGTAAGTTTTATCTTTCTTTAACTTAAAAATGACAAAAAAGTAAAATTCAAATCCAAAATACTGTTTTTTGGCCCCATTGAATACGGCCGCCTGTCAAAAAATGGCGAATATTGCTAATATTTTGCCCATTTTGGTTATTTTATGTAAAGAGATAAAAAAAAAATTTGGATGTGATATTTTTAGTTCTTTTACATTCAAAAGACATACTTTTATGTTATGGCATACCTCAGATGTCCATAAACACCACCATTTTTCTTTACAAGCTGGCATTTCTGTACCATATGAAAATACAACTGAAACTGACCAGTCTCCCCATATAAACGATCCGAATAATTTTCAACATCACTGATTGAGTGATTTCACCATCATCACTGTGACACTGTCATTGGCTCATTGTTGTCATATTTATATTCCATAAATCGCATAATATTTGCAATTGCGCATTCTGCTGAAACTCTAGCTCTTTTTGGTGGCATAATTTCTTCAGTATAAACCGAAGAAACAATGAACTGAATGAAGTCGATAAAGAAAAGTTTGTAGAAAAATATGAAATGGCTACCATGTTTATAACTAGGCCAATATTGGCAATATACTATGTGTTACATGAAGTGTAACACAGGTGGACTACGAGCCTGATAGTTTTGAAAACACAACTTATAAATATTTACACTAAATTGGTTTCATATTCTGCAATATATTATGGTTCCTAAATCTTTGGTGTTTGCTCAACTTTGAAGGTACAAAGAAATATGTGTATTTGTATATATAAAAATATTATAAATAAGTATTTTTTATTATGTAAGTATTTTATAATATACTATATTGAGGGTACTGAAGGGGGGGGTGTCCTAATCCCATTTCCCACCTGATATTTTGGCAAAATCCCAGTCCCAGTTGGATTTTTATTAGAAATCCCAGTCCGTGTTATTGAAATCCCAGTCAATCAAAACCCCTTTGTTTATCAGTACAATAAACAGTTTTAAGACTTTTAAGCCACCGTGTGTGCAAGTGGCGAACACTTTATAAAATATTGGGGAAGTTTGTGCCGAAGGCACGGAAAATTTTTAAATTCGAATCCCTTAAATAGCATTTGCAGCATTCTGAGACACGCATAATCAGAAAATCCAGAATTCCGGGCGCCAGAGTATGCCTGTTCTCAGGTAGTGACTATATAGGGTCGCTGACAACCTAGAAAAGCTGATGTCTTACACTACGAAATAAACAATCACCAACGGCATTTCATCTCATTATATATTGCTTTTAATGCGCTCGGCACACGAGTAGCGTGACGTTTGAAACAAGCCTAACACATCAGAAATGTGCTTTGTGAAACTGATACAATTATCTATTTATTGTGATGCTACACGCGACAATTCGAAATTTCAATTGCAGCTGTCGCTAATAAAAGCATCCGCACAAGGCTACTGCAAACTTATAATTGAAATAGATGTATACGATATGTTATAAATAATAAGCACTACGTCGTTACATCATTGAAAGGAAGCATTTTATCTTCATCCGTTCCGTATTTTTTCGCATTTCCGTTCTGTGGTCCGCTCCATCCGCTTCCGCATTTTAACCTAATTGTGACATGTTTTACAACACAAAATAGAAATAGAACAGAAGCTTCACTCGAGTCGGAACCTTTGAAGTTTTTGTGCCGGCATATGTTACTTCCGGATCTTGGACCCCATGTTGAAAGCAACCAACTCTGGTCCAAAACATTATAAACTAATATGGCGAAACTTGTATTTCATAACTTTAAATGGGTATATCGTCGTTATTTTATGGTGGATGTCATTGAAATTTTCAGGACGTATAAAAGAAAGGTAGATTATTCATTTTATTATAATAAAAGCTTATTGAATGATGCTAAAATTGTCATTTTAAACGCATTGCAAACTGTATGTGCTGTTTTGGCACCGATGGATATATACGCATTATGTTGTTTTTCTTAGTGTAGTTTGAAACTATTGCAACTACTATTCCACTTAACTTGAAGAAAAATGCGTCATGTCTTGTTTTTAGAACGCAGTAGGTTGAATTTTTTAATTTTAGGCGCATATTATACTGCGAATATCCTTATAATTCGTACTACTATTCGTACTAAATTATATACCTGTCAGTGAAAGGGGATGTGATGTCTTTGTATTGGGCTTCTTTTCTTAATTAACAAAAACGTTTTTGGACTAAACTAAGTAAACTGCGCGAGTAGAACTGTTTTATAATTTGTAACTTTGATATTAAAATTTGATTGCTGATTTGCTGGTAAACAGTAATGAGTACGATATTTGTTCACATGGTGGAGCAGATTAACCTGCCAGAAGTTACAGTTCATGACCCAAAATTGCAACACACCAATCTCATGTAGATTTACTCAGCAAGCACCATCTTAATTAATGATTTCACCTGTTATCAATTACCATCAGCATTGTTAGGTTTACCATCTTAGTGAAGGAGCTAGACTAATTAAGCTCCAAAATAATAAAATATTGCACATTCAAACTGTGTAACTCAGTCTGGAATGCATTGGTCTTGTAAACCAGGGGTTGTGGGTTGCATTCTTACTGTGGTAAAGTTGATTTTTCAGCTTGCCTGGTATAGATTTACTCAGAGTAGCAACATCTTAGTAATTTCTCCTGTTTATGATTACCATCAACATTAGATTTAAACACCAGCCTTGTATCTTACAGTTCAGTTCTCATGTACTTTGGTGTAAAAGATTTTAAGCAATATAACTTGTAGAAGTTATATTGCTTAATTGTTTTGGCAACACAGCATATTGTCCAGTGCACATGGTTAAAGATGTGCTACCTTCAAATATTTTCTGTTCTTCTTTTAGTGTTGGAAAGTTCACGATTGGCAAATTTCAAGCTGTAGTAAATGCACAACCTCAAAAACAATTTTTGTATCTTTCATGATGTAGTCCAGAAAGCAATTTGTTGGAACATGAGGACCTTCAAATGTGTTTTCTGTTTGATCAAAGGCCTTAAAGAAACAAAACTGCTTCCTATTATCATTTAGGTCATTACATTGTATGGCATTTGTGCATGTAGGACAGTTGTAGATCTTAATAGATTTATGGATCTAAACTCAAATTTATGGAACTAAATTATATGGATTTATGGAACTAAAATCAAATTAAATATGGATTGATAATATGGATAAATATGGATTTATGGAACTATAAAATCAAATCAAAGTGTTGTTTACGTTTTGGGGGTTGTACAACTTGTACTCAGTAGAATACACTAGATGTTAAAGTTTCATTTACTTGGTTCCCTTTGTAAAAACAACAGTACAACTTACATGCACCAACATCCGATTTGTTGCAAGTCGAAACCAGTTTTATTGCCTGATATATTTTACTCTGCCAACAAGTCTTAATAACAACTCACATGCACCAACATCCGATTTGTTGCAAGTTGAAGCCAGTTTTATTGCCTGATATATTTTACTCTGCCAACAAGTCTTAATAACTAAGGGGCTATTTACATGAGCCCGACTAGTCCTGTTAACCGAGGCACCCAGCTTAATACAAATCATTAACAAGAATCTGCCTAGCGGAGATCTCACTTGAGTCAAAGGGGATGCCCGGATAACCGGGCTGAAATTTCTCCATGTAAAGTCACCAGTTCAGGTAACCTCCTGGCTAGCCAGACCTTCAGCCTGGTTAACCGGGCCAGCCTGCATGACTAGCCGGGCTAATGTAAACAACCCCTAAGATGATAGCAACAATAATATACTTGGTGCTAAATGTAACATAAACTTGAGTAACAGAGAAAATTCTCATATTCAGATTATTTTCCCCTCATATATTGTAGAGTAAACTGTTAATATGTATATTAAAAACTAGAGTGTATATTAGATCTCATAGATTTATAATTTAAACTGTCGTTAAGATAAATCAGGTCTTTTATTGTCTGTTTTGTAAATTAAGTTCCCTGATTCATCCAAGCATTGATCTTTAAACTATTTTTCCAATATCAATGAACAGTCATGATAATGTCATAGGAGGCCTTATCACTTGTGATACCAAATTTGTAAAGTCACAGCCAAAGGATTTGAATAGGTTCAAGTCAATATATTATCCCTAAAATTCATTTTTGAAGAAGAAGTAGGTCCAGCAATTTCTTTCATATCGCAATATTATTTTATATTAAACGATTGTAGGCCAATATGCCAAGTTGAATTACACTGTATTGAATAGTTGATCACATATTCACAGAAGGTTCGATGAACTCGATTTATTTACTTCATTGTTCATGG